AATATGGTATTTTTTGGGTCTCAGATATAACACTTATCCAAAATAATTTGAGAATTTTGTTTGCAAGTTAAATTTATTTTAATATACCATGCAGAAAATTGCTGATTTAGTGTGCATAGGTTATTGCAGTAGAAATGGTGCGATGGCTCCAGTGTTGTTTCTCTACGCTCCCTGTTCTCCATTTGTATACCCCAGAGGGTTTAGTGACAGAAAATTTGCATCTTCCTGTCGCCACACTTAAATGCTCACTATTGTGCTTTTACCCTAATTAAGTCTGAGCCAGCTGCAACTCTTCACTTTCCCAAAACAATAACAAAAAGTCTCTTAAGGTTGACTTCATACTGGAGCTTTCCAGTTTTTTCAACTCTTTTCCTTTCTGCCATGAGCTGTGACAGACTCTGCAGTCTGTTTGTAACATTGATAGAAATGAAGCCAAAAATTAAATTGTGGTGATGAATTGTTGAATCCAAGATGGTGTCCTTTTAAGGGCAGTGGAAGTCTAGCAACTCTGTCGTCTGACATTTTTACCAATAGTTTTAGTTTTGAATAGACACAACAAGACTGAAAGCTTCAGAGGGGTAGCTGAGTTACTCTAACTGGAAAAAATTAAAAAATGAGTAGTCTAGCAACACCTTAAAGACTAACAAAACATGTAGATTGTATCACGAGAGCTCATGATACAATCATGAAGTGGATTGTGACAATGATACTGGTTAGTCCTAAAATAATTATTTCATAACCACTCAGGGAAGCATATTGAAGGTAGTCCCCTCTGAAACAGGATTAGTTCAAAGTTCATGAACATTTTTCGTGCACATCAGCACAGTTCATAGTTATTTCATGGTAGGCTAATGTAGGATAGGTTCATACTCTCAGACTTTAAGGCTGGAAAGAACCACCATGATTTATGCCAGGTTTATGCTTGGGTAGAAAGCTATTTTAAGAGATGCAACGGGAGTTGACGTGCCTTAACTTGAATTTCTGCAGCATCCCTGTTGCAGGAGGTCAACAGGAGAAACTTTCCGGTCAACTTACCTTACTTCTCTCCCTTATTCCTTGTGACCCAGTGGAGTACTAGGGTCAATTGGGGGGGCATCAGCCATCAATTTAGCAGGTCCTTTCTAGACTTGCTAAGTGGAACCCCCTAGAAGATCAAGCTCCAGAGCATCAATCTCTGGGTAAGTTTAGACAAGGCCTATGTCTGACCACCTGCAGATCACAGGCCACAGAACTTAACCCCCCACTCATGTAATAGGCTGATAATCTCTAAAGTTACTAAAGTCCTCTAAACCTTGATTTTTTAAATTTTTTTTAAAGTCTTTGAGTTACAGGGAATCCACCTTTATTATTACTACCATATATTCCGGCGTACAAGACGACCTCTGATGTTAAAAAACATCCCCCAAAAATCGGGGGTCGTCTTGTACGCCGGATGCCCCGCCGCCGGAGCCCCTCCGCGGCTTTGAAAGCCTCGGGGGAAGCCGGCGGGGGGGCATCCCAGGCGCGCGTGGGCTGCCCCCCCGCCGGAGCCCCTCCGCGGCTTTGAAAGCCTCGGGGGAAGCCGGCGGCGGGGCATCCCAGGCGCGCATGGGCTGCCCCCCCGCCGG